CCTGCTGGGCTGACCATGTGGATGAGTATTTGAAAAAATGAAATTAGTCAATTTTTTAAAAATATGTCTTTCTTTGGAATCTACATTTTCACTTACCAATAAAATAATAAAAGAAGGAAATACTGTTCAGAAATGGGACACAGTAGTAGAGGATCATTAAGAAGATAATTATTATCGTCATCAGTATTTACAGTCAATAACAGCGACCATTTACTGCTTGTTTACAAAGTGCGAGACGCTGCTATTTAGTGCTATTTAAACATCAGTGTGTGTAATCTCAGCAACAAACCTGGAGGTGGGCATTGTTAAGTCAATTTATAGATCACAATTTGAGAGAAAGCAGTTTTATACACTTTAGAATTCTTAAGGACTACTAGTTGTTTGGATATCTGTATTTTACAATTTAAGGCTTTGTCCTGAAAATAGTGAATGTTCTATTTTACTTACGGTGCTCTTATTACATGCCTTGACATCTATAATATGCTGAATATGCAGTGTACGCAAACAAGGGGAAAAAGTCTAATTTATAATACCTATGAAATTATAAGCAGGGAATAACACATTGAATATTCAAATTAATATTGGAAATACTAACATTTTATGTTGGCATTCACTGTTGAGATTTAATTTCTTGAAATCTAAAATGTGCTTTTATTTTTATTAGGAGTTAGACCTTTTGCATGTCCTCACTGTGACAAAAAATTCCGAACCTCAGGCCATAGGAAGACTCACATTGCTTCCCACTTTAAACACACGGAGTTAAGGAAGATAAGGCACCAGCGCAAACCCGCGAAGGTTCGTGTGGGCAAGACAAACGTTCCAGTGCCTGACATTCCTTTGCAAGAGCCGATTCTCATAACTGACTTAGGTAAGATGGGTGGAAGGCGTCGTCACGGTTTGCTGAGTAATCTTTTCTTTAGTGTTTTATGCATCGTAGATGGATGTTAAGGACTGTGCACTTAAATAGTTTTAGGCCTGGTGATAATGAAGTCTTTGTTAAGCCTAGTTTGGCTTCATGGGCTAGTATGTTTCACAGTCGAGATTACAATCCTAGTTGTGTCTAAACTACTGCTCAAATTGTGTTCTTGGTTCAGAGAGAAATATGTGTAAGTGCAGACAGTCATGTGTACGTCCTCGCTGAGGAAACATTGCTGCCCGAGTGAAGCTGCTGCAGGTGACGAGGGTTCTGTGTGGACACAGAGTGCACCTTGTTGTTTCCATCTTCGAGTTCCCGTGTGGGGTGTGACAGATTATTATTTGGGCTGCTTTAATCTTTGAATTAAAAAGGAAAAGAAAAACCTACCTGTTTTTAAGTTCTTTTTAAGCTCAATGTTATTATAATCAATCCAAACTATGATTTTGTTAACTAGCTAGAATACACTGTTTGCTAGAATCTTTAGAAAAAACAATTTTTGTAAGTACTGGAACAAAATTTAGGAAACCCCATTGTTTTAGTACATTTGAGCTGCCATAACAAAAATATCATAAGCCGGATAGCTTACAAATAATAGAAATTGATTTTTCACAGTTTGTTCTGGAGGCTGGGAAATCTGAGAATAGGGTGCGGGCAGAGTCGGTGTCTGGGAGGACTGTCCTCCTCACTGACGGTGCTTTCTGGCCGTATCCTCACGTGGCCGAAGGAAGGGGGAGGGCCGCTTCCGGAGGCCTCTTTCTTAAAGACACTAATCCCACTTGTGGAGGCTCTGCCCTCCCAGCCTGACTACCTCCCGAAGGCTGTACCTCTTATTACTCTCACACAGGGAATTAGGGTTCAACACAGGGATCTGGGGGGACACAAATGTTCAGACCATAGCACCTATTAAATGCTATGTGTGAATTTATATTTTTATGCAATTTCTATATTTTATCATCTTCCTAGGCAAGATAATCCAGTCTATAGGCAAAACTAATATTAAACAAAATATAATTCAGTGGAAATGAAGGTTAAACGGTATACAGAGTTTTT